TGAGGGAGCAGAGATGGTAGAGAGCAACGTCTCTGATTTTCAGGTGAGGGAGCAGAGATGGTAGAGAGCAACGTCTCTGATTTTCAGGTGAGGGAATAGAGGCCTGAAGAGATCAAGTGACTCCTCCCATATGGTAGATCTCAAAGGACCCCTTGTCAGTACCAAGAATTTGGTGGCATGAATGCAGCTCATTCCCCCTGGTGGCTAAAAATCACCTGTGAGAAAATGAAGCCTTAGCCTTGAAACAGCATAGTGATGAAATGGAGAAATACATATGAAGTTGTGAAGGAGTTCTGGGCAGAATTGAGAATAAAAAGCAGAATTAAATAAATGATGGGAAAAATTGAAAGGGGTTTAGGAAGCATCTATTTTAACTCCTTTATTATACAGATGGAGAGGAAATAAAGAAAAATATATAAAGAGGAAATAAAAACAAATATATATTTTTTTATAAATGAATATATATGTATAAAATACACACCACACATACATACACACAGAGAGAATATTACTTTATTTGTGAGCTGACAGGTAATTATTGAAGTTATGCATTTATTCAACAACCATCATTTGACAACTACCATGTATCCAAACACACACCAATTATTGAGTATCTAATCTCTGTCAGACATTACAGAACTCATAAGATGAAGATATTTGCAAGTTCCTGCCTTCGGCATTTTTACATTCTGGTTGAGAAGAAAGATTCATATATATATGGAACCACTAAGGAATAATTAGACAAAGCAAATAGGCATAAGAAAATATACTGACATGAAGATCCGTGGTGAAGGCCCTCAGTGACGATTTTAAAGCCTTCAGTCATAGATGTTACATAGGGAAAGTACTTGGTAGCAAAATGGACATTCCTACTAAATAAACTAAGTAATGGATTTTTTTCATTCATTCAGTCAGTCATTTATCAGCTCTTTACTGGGACACCATAGTTCTTTTTTTTTTTTTTTAAGTTGGTTCCATGCCCAGCATGGAGCCCAACACAGGGCTTGAATTCACGACCCTGAGATCAAGACCTAAGCTAAATCAAGAGTCAGATGCTTAACCAACTGAGCTACCCAGGCACCCCTTGAGACACCATAGTTCCTGATGTGACATGTACTAGTCTAGGGCTAAAGACTGCAGAGTTACAAGAAGTATACATACTTTTGTAAATATATCTTTTTTTTTTTTAAAGATTTTATTTATTTGAGAGCGAGAGAGAGAGAGAACACGAGAGGGGGTAAGGTCAGAGGGAGAAGCAGACTCCCTGCTGAGCAGGAAGCCCGATGTGGGACTCGATCCCGGGACTCCAGGATCATGACCTGAGCCGAAGGCAGTCGCTTAACCAACTGAGCCACCCAGGCGCCCTTTTTTTTTTTTTTTAAATATATCTTTTTTTTTTTTTTAAAGATTTTAAGGAAGTATACATACTTTTGTAATTTCTATTCTAATGGGTGAAACAGATTTCTAGAAGTAAACAAAAAAAAATATATGATTTCAGGTAGTAAAAAGTGCTGGAAAAATACATACTAGGGTTAATGGATAAACAGTGAGAGAGCCTGGTGCAATTAAATTAGATTGAGTGGGCTAGGATTTTGTACTCTCCTAATGTGGAAATAATGTTTTCTACCAAATAGACTCCCAAATGTTTGACTCAACTTTAATCTTAGCACATTTACATCTAAGTAAATCAAGTGTTATCACAAATAATTAGATTTCATATATTTTATTCTTTAAATTATAGCAAACTGGTAATAAATTTAATTCTTAAACCCTGAATGCTTTGTTTTCTGAGATAAGAACTTTCTCAAAAGCGAAAGAGTGCACCGATTTTCATAGGGTGGTTGCCTTTCTCAAAGTTGATTCAAAAATTAGTGTGTAAAGTTCCTGCTTTTAAGTATAATCATTTTCACTTGTGAATATGAACAAGGAAGATTATAAGCTGTCAAGAATTTCTAGAGCTTCTGCCCATGACAGAATGATGGGTCCACATGCTGTATTTAAAATCCAGCTGAATGGATAAAAATAGTATGTGACTTTCATAGTCATTATAAGTCGAAGCAATTTATTGAACCCTTCAATCAGGAAAGGAAACAAAAGAGGGGGAATGGGTGAATGACTCATTCCTTCGTGTGTTGTCTACATAGTGCTATTCTGATAATTGGATGATCTGAAGTTTAAATGAAATTGCATTAATGCATTTTAGAGAGGACGCAACCACGACATATTTCAAAAACAAAAACAAAATGCTGTAAAAGGCTGAAACTATCCAATGAAATGATGTCTTGTAATTAGAAATGCACAAAGATTGTGCATGAAATGTAGAAGAACAAGGGTATACTTATATAAACCTTTAAAAATCCAGGCAGAAAAACCCTTCTTATACCTAAAAATCCAAATCAAAATCTTGCATCTCTTCAAGGTAGTAAAATATTTTGTTTTAGAATACATATTAAAAGTAAATATTTAATTCCTTTTAAAAAATACAGGATAGCGATTTCAGGAATATCTGTAGGCTGTACTTTAAGTAATTGACTTGATCATATTTCATATTAAATAATTTGAAGATGACTCACCCAACCCCCAGTGACAATCAGATATGGACATTTTTGCTTCTTGTGAAACATTCATCAGGACCTTCAAATATCACTTGTTCAAGCAATTTTATCCCATGAATTTCAGAACAAAAAAATATTTTATCTTAGGAGGACACTGGCCATGAGTGGAAAACATGATATAGAAAATCTATGAGATGTGTGAACTTAAAAAAAAAAAAAAGGTTTCTTTTCTCATTTCAAGATAAGGTTAACAGAATACTTATTATCTTCCAAGTGTAAACAACGCTTTTAGGTATTGACTTCAGGAAGAAGGGCTGGATCTTTAGATGTGGGTTCCTAGTGGTGGGTTCTCAGATGGGACACAGGGGCTGGACCCTCAGAGTGAAAACCATACGCTAGGAACCAAATCATCTACTTGCATACAGTGCTGCATTCACTTCCCTTCTCTTTTTTCTTAGCCCGTTAGTTTTTTTTAATGCTTCAAAAATTGTTACTAAATGCAAACAATTAAGTGAAACATGCAACACTAATGTTCATCATTAAGAGACAAAATTACTTTTTTCACTCCAAAAGAAATTACTATGAGTGATTTGCAGTTTGGCTCATGGTGCATTTCATAATAATTACTCCAAACAATGGCTGACGTTTTTGATTAAGAAAATAAACAGATATTGAGAGTCAAATACAAGTGTGGTAGTTCACTGAATCCTCAAATCACACTAAGATGTGACACAGGATTCTCTTCCCTTTGTACTTCACATGCTAGCCCCTAAGGGCAGCCGCAACAGTAATATACACACTGTGCAGTAATTACAAATATTCTGCTGTTGCTTTTCTGTGGCACTGAATTACATTTCATTCCTATCAAGTAATCTATAAAATAATCCACTGACTTTCTTTGAAGAGAGGGAATTGAACTTCCAAAGATGAGCAATACACTTTCATCAGAATCTCTCCAAACACCCTGAAATTGTGTACAATGACAGGTGAAAACATTTTCCGATACATCTCTTCATGATAGAGCCTTCCTTTCTTCTAAATTTACATTAAGGGGCACCTGGGTGGCTCAGACGGTTAAGCGTCTGCCTTCGGCTCAGGTCATGGTCCCAGGGTCCTGGGATCAAGCCCCGCATCGGGCTCCCTGCTCAGTGGGAAGCCTGCTTCTCCCTCTCCCTCTGCTGCTTCCCCTGTTTGTACACTCTCTCTCTCTGTCAAAAATAAATT